GAGGAAGCGGCGGTGTACGGCATCTCGTAGCGGGCTTGATGAAGCGGCGGCGGGTACGGCGCCTGCGCGGAGCCGGGGGCCTGGGGCAGCGACGCGTCGGCCGTCGGGAAGCCCCCTCCTCCTGCGCATGCGGGCGGCAGCGCGTCGGCCGTCAGGAACCCCCCTGGCGCCGCCCCCCAGGGGTACGGGCTTCCGCTGGGTCCTGGCGCCAGCAGCGCTCCGCCGGCCGCCACCAGCGAGACCTTGCCGTCCTTCCGAGGTAGCGCCTTGCTCTTCCTCCGCGGGCGGTACTTGTAGTCCGGGTAGTCCTTCATGTGCACGGCGCGCAGCCTCTTGGCCTCGTCGATGAACGGGCGCTTCTCGGCGTCGCTCAGCAGCTTCCACTCGGCGCCCAGCCTCTTGCTGATCTCCGAGTTGTGCATCTTGGGATGATCCTGTGCCATCTTCCTCCTCTGGCCCCGGGACCACACCATGAAGGCGTTCATGGGCCTCTTCACCTTGTCCACCTCCAGCTTGGGGCTGGCCTGCTGGCCCAGGGCGCCAGCCGCCTTCAGCTCCTGCTCCAGCCCACTGTACATCTGCACAGCAAGATCCCACACACACACACAGACGAGAGAGAGAGACACGGAGGAAGCTACAGCACAGGGAGATGGGGAGGAATAAAAGTTCAGGTACCCCATCTCCCAGCTTATTATATGGGTTAAAACCACACCCCCTCCTCCCCTGCAACCAATCAATGGCCAAGTAGACCCTTAGCACCCACCCATGATATGACGTCAGACTTCAGTATTAACATAATAAGGGGTGGATCCTACAAAGTCTTTCCTTCTCTTTCTGTCTCTTTTTCTCTCCCCCCCCATGTCTGACCCCCTCTGTTTCCTCCCCCATCCCCCCACCCCGTGTGTGTCTGTGTCTGTGTCTGTCTCCCCCTCTCTCCACCCCCGTCTCTCCCCTCCCATTCCCACCCCCTCCCAAGAGCCCAGTCAGGAAGCCTCCTGGGAAATCTTACCAACAACTGCCCTGATTTAACAACTTGTATTGAGCCCCCCCATCCCACCTCTACAGTTTCCAAACGAGGGAGGTTTTGTAGTCTACAAAGTAGCAAGGTGAATTTTGCTTCTATATGCAGAGGGAGTGGGGAGTGTTAGCGAGTGGTTTAAATGCCCCCACAATAGCTATTTCGTGCCAGCAAATGGAAGGGAGAGGTGACCAAAAATGTTGGTCAAAGTTACTGAAGCACACTCTTACAGGAGGGGGTGAGGGGGAGAGAAAACACAAGAGAGGGCAGTGGAGGGATTTAGGGAGGCTTTTCCAGGGCTTAGGGCTGCCAGCCAGTGGGAGTGACACAAACTAGGGATGGATCAGGAGGCCAGATTTGGAGCAACACAAAAATATGGAGGGGTGTAGCGGTTGGAATGGGTAACAGAGATAGGGAGGGGTTTAGGGGCCGGAGGAGGTGACAGAGGTAGGGAGGGGTGTCGGGGCCGGAGGGGGTGACAGAGGTAGGGAGGGGTGTAGGGGCCGGAGAAGGTGACAGAGGTAGGGAGGGGTGTTGGGGCTGGAGGAGAAGACAGGGGTAGGGAGGGGTGGGGCTGGACAAGATCATGAGATAGGAAAATGTGTAGGGCTGTGCTTGAGGTCATGGTCTGATTAAGATGTAAGGGTGAGAATTTTAAAACAGCTTGCTGAGCTGAGAGTATGTGTAGGTTTGTGAGCATGGTGTAATTTATAAATGGGATTTGGTATGAGTTGTAATATGAGGTTTGTGCAAGGGATGAGATGAATTCAGAGGTGAGCCCCTCCCATATCTTAGCACTCCTCCACTCCAGCCTCACAAGCATTCTCTTATCTGCATTGGTGGCTGTGATTGACCTGGGACCTTTGAACCCTGGAATTCTCAACTCCTTTCAGATGGTCCTTAAAGCCTTTTGGTCACTACCCTTAATATTTCCCTATGTGACTCAGTGTTGACCTCTGTCTGTTTACAGTCCTGAGTTCGGATGTGTTACTGAATGACAAGTGCCACACAAATGCAAGACTCTGTTGTGGGCAGTCAGAGCATTCAGAAGTGAGATGGTTGCATTTTTCTCCTGTGATTACAGAATCAGGGCATGGCCCACCAAGGGATATGGAATTGAATTGAAGGAATTGAGGGCAAGGCCAAATCCTGAGGACTGAAAGACCCCCTCCTGTTCCTGTGTGCCAGACTTGAAAGGCTAAATGGGCTTCTGCTTGTAACAGGCTCGAGGGGCTGAATGATCTGCTGTTCCTGTGTACAGAAAGGGACTGGACAAGGTTACAGAGGTCGGGAGTGAGGTCATTGAGAGATTACGGTATGAGGGGCTGAATGGCCTCCTACTGATCCTGAACATAACCCAGACAGGCTTGCCCACACCCCATGAATGATTTTAAAAGAATTGCAGCTGGTATTATCCAGAATTTGAGCAGAAATTGGGACCTCACTGAGTAAAATTCTCTGCCTCTGTGATCTTTATAAGACTATCTTGTAAGCAACACATAAGCAGGAGATTTACATGCAAAGATTGAAGGAAGTGCATTCAGAATGACATCAGAACAGTGAGGTTCTTACAATCAGGAAATGCATGAACAGACAGCAACACTTTTCTCTGGGAAAAGAGGAGGTTAAAGTTTGGCCTTATATAAAGGAGTTTCAATGGGGAAGATGTAAAGAAAATGTTTCCACTTGTGGAGGAGAGCAGAACTCAGTGTCATAATTGCAAGACAGTCCCTAATAAACTGAAGGGTCAGATGGTCAGCGCTGAGGGAGTGGGCACTGTCGGAGGGTCAGTGCTGAGGGAGTGGGCACTGTCGGAGGGTCAGTCTGAGGGAGCGCCGCACTGTCGGAGGGTCAGTGCTGAGGGAGTGGGCACTGTCGGAGGGTCAGCGCTGAGGGACCGGGCACTGTTGGAGGGTCAGCGCTGACGGAGCATCACGCTGTCAGAGGGTCAGTGCCGAGGGAGGTTAGGCTTCGTGCTGTCCTGCGATCACTATTCACTATTCCATAAGCGTAACTAAACATTGACATGGGTCATTGTCGCAATGTTGTTTGTGGGAGCTTGCTGCTCCAAAGATGCATCCCTTGTTCCCTCCATTGCAAGAGTATTTTTTTCAAAAAAGTACCTCACTGGCCACAAAGCCATTTTGGGATATTTGGTGGTCATGACAAGAGCTGCGTAAAAGCAAGACTTTCTGATGGAATGCTGTGGTCTTCCCTCAGGAAATGGGCATGGGGTAGGGGCTCAGTGCCTGGAGTCAGTACAGAAGGGGAGCAGGGTGCACGGTGTCTCTCTGTGACACTAATAGCAGATGAAGTTTTCAGGGTGTGTTAAATTCAGGGGAGCTCAAAGTTATAACTACATGATTCCCTTCCTGACAAATGGGAGTGGGTGGGGGAAGCCCTTTTGAGTTCACAGTGAAAAACCGAAACCAAGAACCATCCAGAAAAGGGTCATGTTGGGCTGGAAATGTTATCTCCCTCACCACAGATGCTGCTGAGTTTCTCCAGCACTTTCAGTTTTCGTTTCTGATCCACCGTACTTTGTTCTAATGTAGTGAGGATTATCCCACCACTGCAGTTTGGCGTTCAGCCGGAGGGGAGTGTGAGTGATCAAAATGCAGAGTGTTACCTCTGGTTTGCTCACGGTCATCTTCTCAAATCCTGACCCTCTCGGAGGCTGCTTATTTCAAAAGTTTACTTCAGCAAAGTCTGGTCCCTGTTCTAATTCCCTAACCACGAAATCAAGGCTGGAAGCTGCTTCCCTCTTCCCAACAGTTATTATTTGCAAAGAAAAATATTTACGGTCCTGATTTTATCTGGTTGATTGTCTCCTGCTCTCATAGCCCCTTTGAGATGCAGAATGTGAGCAGCCAGTCATTAATATTAATGATTCTGGTGGGGGAGGGTTTGGGATTTGGCTCAGCGTTTTTATGTGTTCCCTGTGTATTTTGCAGGTGCTTGCCCTGTTTGATCGACAGCCCCTGTCACTGCTCCATTCATGTTCTTCCAGGGTCTCCCAGGCAACTGGACTGTCTTCATTCTTCCCAATTTCAGACTCATTGCCAGTTTAAACCTCTTGTTCCATCCCCGTCACCCTGTAACCAGCATGATGCAACAAAACAAATGGATTTAGAAGATTTCAGAACTGCGTTTGCTGCTTTGAAACTCTGCTGTCTCCCTGGCATATTTTGCAAATGGTTTCATACGTGCTTCTTTGTAAATATAGCTGATCAAACACCAACATTTTTATTTGCAGAGAGAATGGAACAAAGTTTTTACATTTGTTTGCAGTCTTCCTCTTTCACTTACTATGCTTCAATCTCAAACTTTTACTTTCTCTCCTTTCGGTCTCTCCATCTCTTGTCTTTCATTGATTTTCTCTCCATTTCACACCATCTCACTTGTTTCCTCTCCTCTTTCTTATTCTCACTCTTCTCCACCTTCCCTTCTTCTCTCATTCTTATTCTGTCTGTCTTGTTCTCTGTCTTAGAGTCATACAACATGGAAACAGAACCTTTGGTCCAGTCAGTCCATGCCGAACATAATCCCAAACTAAACTAGTCCCACCTGCTTGCTCCTGGCCCATATCCCTCCCTTTGTATTCATGTACTTATCTAAGTGTCTTTTAAGTTTGTTCTATCTCTCTCTCTCCCCTTCCCCCTCACTGCCTCTCTCACACTCTGTGTCAGGTGTCAGCCACTGTGTTATGTCACATCCTATCAAGCTCTCCATGTTATAGCTTTTTTAAAATTCGTTCATTCACGGGACGAGGGAGTTGTTGGCTAGGCCAGCGTTTGTTGCCCATCCCTAATTGCCCAGAGGGCAGATAAGAGTCAACCATATTGCTGTGGGTCTGTAGTCACATGAAGGATGGCAGTTTCCTTCCCTAAAGGACATTAGCTGCTTTCCTTCGCACACTTAAGGCTGTTACATACCCTCTGGACTGCAGCCTGAATAGGAGCAGTCAGAATGTGGAACCATGTTAATGACTGAATGTTTCTGTCGGGGCCTTTAGGTGACTCTAGGTCCACACCACTGTGGGTGAGTGGCTTCTGTAGGCCTAAACAGTGTCCCAGCTGCACCCCAAATCAGGACTGACAATCCACTGCTGTAACTGGAGGCTGATAGTCAGGGCCAATCATCCCCTAATGTGCCCATCCCGAAGAGACTCACTCTGTTTACACAATACACATGCCAAATTGACATGAGGAATAACATTGAGTTAGCAGGAGCCCGGATGATTTTCATAGGCTTACAGGTGGTCACTTACTGTGGAATAGGATCAGGTTTACATCAACTCTCTCTTACCCTCTCACACGTAAACACTTTCACACAGATACTTACACAGACACATACATGTTCACGTAAATACACTCTTTAAATCCTCCAGCCTCTATACCCATCCCTGTCTCTGTCACCTCCTCCAGCTCCTTCACCCCTCCCTATCACTGTGATGTCCTCCAGACCCTACATCCCCTCCCTGTCTCTGTCACCTCCTTCAGCCCCTATACCCCTCCCTATCTCTAAACTCCCCAGCTTCTACATCCCTCCCTATCTCTGTCACCTCCTGCAGCTCCTACACCCCTCCCTATTACTGTGACATCCTCCAGACCCTACACCCCCTCCCTGTCTCTGTCACCTCCTTCTACCCCTACACTCCCTTCCTATCTCTCACCTCCTCCAGCCCCTACACCCCTCCCTATCTCTGTCACCTCCTCCAGACCCTACACCCCCTCCCTACCTCTTGTCACCTCCTCCAGCCCCTACACCTCTCTCGACCTCTATAATCCTTGGAGATCTCTTCCACCTCCTCTAATCCTGGCCTTTTGAAATCCTCCGATTCCCATCGCCCCACCATGAGTTGCCATGCCTTCACCTGCCTAGGTTCTGAGTTGTGGAATTTCTTCTGTAAACCTCTCCTTTCTTTAAGATATTGTTTAGACCCTGACTGATGGTTGTCTGGTAAATGCATGTGCAAAGTATCTTTCACCAAGGCAAAGGTTTTACATAAATTGAACTTGAAAATGGAAATTAGAGAATATTTTTCCCAGCCATTTTCTGCGAGGGAGGATAGTGATACCAATTACACAGCTTGTTCTCACAGGCTAGCACCGGCTCAAGAGGCCAAATGGCCTCCTTTTGCGCTGTGTCCAATCTCCCTCACCCCCTCCAGACTCTCCAGATGCTGTGTGGCAGGGCCCAGCACTGATGGTCAGTGAAACAAAGGCTGTCCCCTCTTCCCCTCCCCACTCCCTCTCAGCACTCACCCCCCTGCTGTCTTCCTTCAATGGAGCGAAGGAGATTAGCTTGGGGAGGGGGTCTGTAGGTAGCGGGGGAGAGATGCTTCCCTCTCATAATTCAGTCATGGGCCATTCTTCCTCGAAGACAGATCACTGCAGAGTTCCCAGCACTTCACAACCAATTAGAGATGCATTAAAGAGCCATTTGCATTTGAACAGAGTCCATCCTGCAAACCTCTTCAGAAAATCCCCAGCCCCTGGGTATGGGCTGGCGGGGCGGTGAGGTGGGAGGGACAGAGAGAGGCAAGAGCTGCTTCGTGAGGAGACAGCGTCCACAGTTACCAAAGTGGGGAAGAAAATATTTGCAAAAGTCTGTTTCCATTTTTGGGCTTCAGACTAACAGCACATCCCGACAGAAATGAAGGGAGACAAGAAATCTTGAATATGTTGGAAGATTTCTGCAGGTCTTACAGCAGTCTTGGGGAGAGAAACAGCATTGGCATTTAATATCCACCGCTTATCAGTGCTTCCTCAAAACCTACAGAGGCCAGTCAGCCCAGTGTTCCTTTTGTGCTAACACTTCAGATGAGCAGTCATTCATAGCCCCACTTAGTCCACTACCCCTCCCTATCTCTGTAACCCCC